CAACCTTTCTGTAGCATGGCTATGGACCAGGGACGAAGGTCTTGGAATACAAGATGAACTTGAAGGGAGTTTCCCATCACTGTGAGGAGCTGTGATTTGTATTACAGGGGACGCTAGCTTCTGCTGCTGGTCCCGCCAGCCTCTGGACTGACACGGATGATGGAGTTTAATTTATCCCTACTGATCCTTTTTAGAGGCACCCTCTGAGCAGAATCTGGAGGTGAAGTGGCTTTGTCTTGCTGACGAAGGTGTGGGGAGCCTGCAGTCAGGGAGAACCATGAGCAGTGAGACAGGCAATGACCTTAGAAAGCATGGTGCAGTCCACACGTTGCCCTGATCCCTGGAGGCAGTTCTGGACATGCATAGTCATAGAGTGTCCCTTCTGCCTGGTGCCAAAGGGGACTCGATGGGTCAGGCTCAGTGCATCTTCCACGGTCAGCGTCACTTTGCAGATGTCGCACCATATGGCCCTGTGGCGGCTCCTCCCCAAAGTGCTTCCCTCCTCTCCGGGGCTTTCCATGTCTTCTTACCAACAAAACCACCTCCGTCCACAGGCGTGGAGCAGGGATTGTGTGGGGGCCACGCCACACACTGGAGACCTGCTCCCCAGAGGAGCACGTGCCTTGTCTCCAGTTTCACAGAAAGAGCTCTTTCTGAGGCCCCACCTGGCAGATGAGACAGGAATCAGGAGGAACACAGGGACCGAATCACTGACCATATTTTCCAGGGAGGCTGGTTTAGTTTCCTGGAGCTGCTGTAACAAAATATTGCAAACTTTGTGGCTTAAAACAACAGAAATGTGTCTCAGAGTTCTGGAGGCCAGAAGTCCAAAGTCAGGGGGTGGGCAGGGCCATGCTTCCTCTGGGGGCTCTAGGGAAGAACCTTTCCCTGCCTCCTCCAGTCTGTGGTGGCTGCTGGCATCCCGTGGCTTGTGGCCGCATCACTCCAATCTCCGCCTCCGTCTCTCACTGTGTGTCTGTCTCCTCTCTGCCTCCTATAGGGACAATTGTTATTATTGTGGATTTAGAGTCCACCCTAATCCAGGATGCTCTCGTCTTGAGATGCTTAACTTAATCACATCTGCAAAAACCCTTTCTCCAAATATGGCCATATTCACAGGTTCTGGGGGTTAGAATGTAGAACTTTTTGGGGAGACACTATTCAACCTACGACAGGCATTTTTGGTCAGCTCCTTCTTAGCTCTTCAAGTTCAAAACTGAAATAGAAATTATGCTGCAGGCCAAAACGACTTTCCTCCCAGAGGCTGGCTCCTGGCCATGGCTATGCCTCCAGGAGGAATTCCAGAGGAGACAGGAAGGCCACCTGCTTTTCAGGAGAGCACATTTACGGAAGTAGAATTTCCATCCCAAAGTGGCCTCAGAAACCTGGGACCACTGGCCTTCCTCTAGGCCTGGATCACTGATGTTGGAGAGGCTGCGGCACAGAGAAGCAAAGGCGGGGCCTGTGCCCTCAGGAGCTTTCGGTTAGGGGGCCTCTCCCTGCCCTGTCCACCACCACCATCAGCAAGGCCGGACTACATATCACTCTAGCCTGGGGTCGTTTCTGATAGCTAATTAAGGACGACAGACAGGACGGGGAGCTACAGCAAATTGAAGAATGTTGTGTCTAAATGTCTAGGATTTCAACTTGAATTGACATGTTGACTATCTCCATGGGTCACAGAAAAGAAGAAAAAAAAAATCTGTGTCTGTGTTTGGCCTCTGGATCTAAGCCCATCGCAGCAGAGGCAGGGACGGTCAGAAATAATAAAAGCTGTGCAACTTCTGCCATTGGAGTCCTAATGTAAAATATTTGGAATAAACTGGCTGCATCATGTGCCGTTTTAAGATGATCACAGATAGGTTTTAGGCATGTTGTAAGAAATAAGAGAAAGTATAAAGTACAAGATAAGAAGCAGGAAAAGTACACGGTCATGCTCCCAGGGGCTCTGCACATGCTGCCAGGAAGAGATTTCAAAGTCAAAGAGACTAATAAGCATGTTCTTGAAGAAAGAATGACCTCCTGGGGAATCCACAGATGGGACCTCAGCCTGATTGGGTTACCTCTCTTTTGGGGCCATAGCAAATTGGTTAACAGAGTCTCCCCTAAAAGTTGCCCCCCCATCCCCATGTATAGCTGCAAAGAGCCTTCTGGAGGGTACCACCCCCTCCCCCCACAGTGCCACTTGGAGAAGTGGAAGTCAGAACCCCTGGCTGGGACCCCAGCTGTGCTTTGTGGGCCCATTTCCTGGGATGCCCACCTCCCAACGGTGGTAGTGGGGGTAAAGTGAGGCAATGTGGTGAAAACGAGCTTTGTTGTTAAAAAGGCAAACCCTACAAGGAGAAGCACAGGAAGGACTCTTTCCTACCACCTTGGTCACAGGGTCTCGTTCCTGCCAAGTGAGTCTCCTGAAGTGCACGTGTTAAGCCTGGGCAGAAAAGAGCGGGTCTCTGGGCTGACCCAGGGAGGCCTGCCTCTCCATCTGGGGGATGGTTGTTACGTAGCAGCACCGCCATGTTTGTCCCTCGCTTCACCCTGAGGGGTGTGGGGCCTGACGTATGTTGCATTCCCACTCCTCAAACCTCATACAAACTGCTTGCTCGTGTACAAAATAACTCAGTTTTCATTCTGACTACAAAATGAATACCTCCTCATTGTTGGAAATTTAGAAAATCAAGGAAACGAAATTTAAATGGCCTATAATTTTATCAGTGTCTGATAGTGAGCGTTAATATGTATGGTGTCCTCCAGGCACATCTGTCACTGTTCTAAATCCTCACATAGATTAGATTAGCGAATCCCCACAACAACCGGATGGTGTAGGGACTGGGATTATCCTCTTGTTATAAATGGGGAAACTGAGGCACAGGGTCCGTCACTTGTCCAAGATCACACAGTCGGGTGGGGTATGTGTGTGCGTGCACACTTTTGCATCGTTATGATCTCTCCCTGGGCAGTTCTGAATCTTGTCTTTTTTTCACTTACCATTATGTCATACGCCTTCCCCATAACATTACAAATTCCTATTAATCATCATTTTAATGGCTGCATCGTAACTCCTCTTCCCAGTTATGGGACAGTTAATTCTCCCCTCCCTGTACTCCTGAGTTAGAAGCAGGACTGCAGTGAATCTTTTTGTAGATGAGTCTTTGTTCACGTTCCTTGTGATTCCCATAGCGTCAGTTCCTAGCTGTGAAAGCAGGGTGTCGGTGGATATGAGCCTTCACACTGCTTCCAGAAGGAACACACCAGCTTACGCTGTGTCAGCACATGACAATGCCCCCCACCACAGATGAGCCAGCATCGCCTGCTGTCATTTCATTGGTTCGTTCGTTTGTTTGTTTGTTTGTTTGAGATAAAGCCAGTCGTCTTCAGTATATTTACAGTGGTGTGCAGCTGTCACCTTTATCTAATTCCAGAACATTTTCTTCATCCCAAGAATGAGCCTAGTCATTCGCAGTCGCACCCAGTCCCCTCCATCCTCCAGCCCCAGGCAACCACTAATCTGCTTTCTGCGCCTGCTCTGGACATTTCATATAAATGGAATCATGCAATCTTTGGGTTTTTTTTTTAATGTCTTCTCATGTGACGGACGGTATCTAGCACTGAGTCAAACAAATGAGTTGAAGTGTGTTCACCGTTTACATGTATTCTTTGGTGGGCTGTGTGTTTCTGTCCTTTGCTCATATTACTTGTAGGGTCTTAGTGTTTTTATCAGCCTGTTTGAACTCTCTCTATATTAAGGCGAATAACTCCTTGGCTATCATATTTACAGCCATTTTTCTTCTGCACCAGAATATTTTGCTGCAGGTGTTAAAGTGGACGATAAAAAACCACCTCAAGGAGAAGAGAAGCCACAAAAGCCGATAGAGAGGGTTTGGGTGGAGGAAAGGGAGGGGGCTCTGCCTCGTGGTTCAGTGCAAGGGTGGAATTTCTGTGTCTGTGAGCTGGGGAGTGCGGGGGGTGGGGGACTAGGGGGGTGGGGGGGTAAGTTCCTTCAGCACCAGCTACTGCAGTCCCAGAATTTGGCCACCTCCCGGAATCCCTGCTCATCTCGGGCAGCTGCTAGCTAGAGCCCTGGGGCCGACCCATGAGAAGCAGGAATGTCTTCTAGCCACAAGTGACCTGAGCCTCCAGGGGTGCCTTTTTAGACACGCTGGCCTCCCCCTCCTTGGAGAAGGTTAAGTCAGGCTTTCTCTTCTCCATCACCCACCCAAAGCTTCTGGCATTTTCCTCCCCCTCCAGCCCTTCCCCAGCTCCTCGCTGGCAGGCCCTGAGGGGGATTGGTGTGGTTTCTGTGCAAACAGAGGCCTTGGCAGTGAGCTGCTCAGCAGCCTAGAGTTTGCACTGTGCACAGAAGATGGGCCCATAGGCCCCGTTTTCAGGAACGACTAGTCAAGCAGTGGTCTGTCCTGCATGAGCAACATAGGAAATTAACGGGCCTGCAGCTTAATGGGAAGAAAATATAAACAGGGTAACAGTTTCACTGTGAATACACACATGCTCTAGGGAACAGCAAATATCAGCAACAATTTGACACTTAGTTGAATGCATTCACTTACTATTTTGTTTAAATAACTGCCTTACTTCCCTCTCCCCACATACACCCTGCCTATTAAGGATTGGGGGGATTATAACATAATCATGGCACTTTGGAAACTAAAAAGCAAATCCAATTTTATCACTCTGCCAAGTGCAAACCTTGTTTGGTGGCTAATTGTTTTTCTCCCAGTGGAAGCAGTGACTTAAATTAGAGTTCTTAACAGGGGAGGGAGAGAGTGATTGCTCCTTGGACCCCTTGGAGTCGTAGGCAAAAATTGTGTGTGTGCGCGTGAGAAAACTCCCCTGCAGAGAAAGCCTGCCCTCTTTGTCAAGTTCTCCAAGGTGACCTTGACCCCAGACAGGTTCAGAAACAGGGTTGTAGGTCATCCCGGAGCAGTGTCCCCAAAGGCGGGGCCTGCTAATTGTCTCTCTAGATTGATGTCACCTTGTGCTTGCAGTGCTGGTGAAGGGCCAGGTCACCACCAAGTACTACCGGCTGCTGTCCAAGCTGGGCGGCTGGGTATGGGTGCAGAGTTACGCCACCGTCGTGCACAACAGCCGCTCGTCCCGGCCCCACTGCATCGTGAGTGTCAATTATGTCCTCACGTAAGTCAGACGTATTTGTTTCTCTCCTTGCTCTGTCTTCTCCCCTGTCCCTCATAGATCGCTCCTATAAGTACCATCTCCACCTCTCTCTCTCCCTCCCTCTCTCTCTCTCTCTCTCTTTCTCTCTCTCTCTCTCTCTCTCTCTCTCTCTCTCTCTCTCTCTCTTTCTGGAACTGTTCATTTGTCTCCTGTTTTGTTTCTTTTTGAACAATCTGGTTGATTGGGAAGGTCCAAACTATTTATGTACTCTGCATGGAGGACAAGGTGCTATGGAGGAGGGAGCCCTGCTCTGGGCATAGATTAGGGTGGCATTGGAACCCCGGTGAAGGGTGTGGGTGGGCAGAGGGCAGCTGGGGAATGCCCCCTCCTCCGCCTCCGCATCTTGAACAGGATAGGAAAGGTCCCGGACCAGGAATACACACGTATTCTGGGTCACCTTGTATGCTCCTGCCATTAGGGATGGGGGGTAGCCCCCATTTCCTCCCCCCGCATCTTCCTATATAGCCTGTTGCAAATGATAGTGAGTATTTGGTCCCTTTAAAACCCCAAAGGGTCAATTTCAGTGGCGAATACTATTAAGACCATTAGAAACAACAAGACGTAAGTCTATTTAAGACCATATATTAGTCTCCACCCACCACGCTCTTGTATGTTCAATCACCTTGCCCCCACCCCCCCACCCCTCCTGGCCCTGAATTTGATAGCCTTGCAGCTCCCCCAGCCTTACCTTGAAAAGGGCCCTCCTGTGTTCTAATGCAGTGAGGACGGAGGCTCTGTGCTTTCATAGAATGATTACCAGGTCACCGGGGTTTTGTTTGTTTGTTTGATTTTTAGAAGTAGAATGCTTTTAGCAAAACTGCAGGAGAGAAAGCATTTTAGCCCCTTAATGATACTTTCTGAGCAAAGAGTTGTGGGCTGGCATCTGAGCTATTTCCCCTCCCATGAACTTGATGGCACTGAGTTGGGACTTCAGAGCAAAAATGGGCCCCTGGAAGCCAGTCTCCTGGGCCCTCACAGGCTCCCTGAGTCACGCCTCTCTGGGTGCTAAACAGAGAAGCAGCTAGGCCAGCTACTCAAAGTGTAGTGTTCCTGCCTTTCCTTTTTGCCCTAACGTCCTTCCTAGTGGCCCTGGGTGTCCCCAGGAACTGTGTTTGTGCCTTGTAGGACTGAAGAGAGCTGCACCGATTCCCCTCCATTGCTGCCGAATAGCACTGCCCCCTCTGAACCCAGGCCTGCAGAGTGGCTTTTACAGGGAGGGTGATCTGTCGTTTTCTCAAAGCCCACCTCCATGGGACCTCAGTGAAATGACTCACTGGAGCTTTGAGGATGTGCCGGCTCCGGGTGATGCCCGGGGAGCCGCTCTGCTGACAGCCTGCTGGACACCACTTGTCCCACTCTTGCCTCTCAGGGATATTGAGTACAAGGAGCTGCAGCTGTCCCTGGAGCAGGTGTCCATGTCCAAGTCCCAGGACTCCTGGAGGACCGCCTTGTCTACCTCACAAGAAACTAGGAAATTAGCTAAACCCAAAAGCACGAAGATGAAGACAAAGCTGAGAACAAACCCTTACCCCCCACAGGTAACACACGCATCCTCCAGGGGCGGGGTGTGGCTGACATCTGTCCCAGGGGGCTCGGGACACCGGGGCACATTCAGGAACATAGACTCTGGTGGCCTAGCAGAGGTCTCCCTGCCTGGAGTGTCCCTGTGGAGTGAAGCAAAGTCCCTCTGGGATGTCCTGCCCACACAATAGAGACGCAGCCTGACAGTGTGCAGAGCTAACATCCGAATAGCCCAATGGGGTCTGGGAAAAGGAAACCTCAACTGGGAAGGCTCATCAGCCAGCTCGAGTCCACGGAAATGTGGGTCAGAGCACTGGTGCGTCGTTTCCACAGCATTTTTTTTTGTTGTTGTTGTTAATGAAAGCCTTCCCTCTTTCTTTTTTAAAGTAGTTCGTAAGCGCTCCGAAATAGCACATGGCCACCTGTATCTGGTGTGTTGTCAGCTGTGGGTGGGGAGGTCTCTTTGAACCCAGGGGGTGGGTCACTGGGGTCACTGTTGGCCCTGCGTCTGTCCCCAGTGGGGCCTCGCAGTGGTGTCCGGGATGGGTGCAGCCCTGGGATGGGGTCGGGCCCGGGCTTTGTGAGGCGGAGAGGCAGCCCCCCACCAGGTCCTTCTTCTATCCTCTTTGCCATGCAGCAATACAGCTCGTTCCAAATGGACAAACTGGAATGCGGCCAGCTCGGAAACTGGAGAGCCAGTCCCCCGGCGAGCGCTGCGGCTGCCCCAGAACAGCAGCTCCATTCAGAAGGCGGCGACCTTCTGTACGCCCCGTCCTACAGCCTGCCCTTCTCCTACCATTACGGACACTTCCCTTTAGACTCTCACGTCTTCAGCAGCAAAAAGCCGGTGTTGCCAGCCAAATTCGGGCAGCCCCAAGGATCCCCGTGTGAGGTGGCACGCTTTTTCCTGAGCACGCTGCCAGCCAGCGGAGAGTGCCAGTGGCATTACGCCAACCCCCTAATGCCTAGCAGCCCGTCTCCAGCTAAAAACCTTTCTGAGCCGCCGGTGAACCCTGCTCGGCACGGCCTCATGCCAAACTACGAAGGTGGGTCATGTTTGCTCGAGGGGATGGGGCAGGGCTGTGAACAGCAGTGGTGGCAGCGGTGGGTGGCACGTGGAAAAAGGGTCCTCACACTTTGGGCAAATTGTTCCTTTTTTTGCTTCTAAGTGGGAATTGCTACGCTTTTCCTGCTCTCCATGCGAGTGTTTCAGGAGAGTGAGTAAAGCTGGGTGGCTGAATCCATGTGCCTTGTGGACACGAGGGACAGTATAAGGGGCAGAGGAAACCAGGTGTTCAGCCACCCTCCCTAAAATCCTGGCCTCGTTTGCTCCCCAAAAGGGAGACAAAGTGATTTTCAGAAGCCAGATCCCAGGTACTGAGAATGGCCCAGCTGCATGTATTTTACAAGATTACGTTCCACTCCATCCAAACATGAATATGGGAGACGATTGGCATTCTTCTGATGCCAGTTTCCAAAGTGTAGAAAACAGTGGTGGGAGTTTGTGGGCTCAGGGACAGACACGCCACTCACCAACCCAGGGCAGAGAACATACCCTGCCCAGGACTCCGTGTCTTCGTCTATAAATGGGATCATAAGCGGTGGGATGTGCCCGCCCCAGGCGTGGCCCCGTAGGTGCCTGTCCATCACATACTAGCAGAGGTCCTCTGTGGAGAGGCCGCCGGTGATCCCAGGCCCAGATTCCTGTTTGCTCACCGGGCCAACCGCAGGCGGAGGGTAGAAGGTGGGGCTGAGGACTGGCTGCAAGGGGTGTGTATTCCTGTTTCACGTGACCTGGCTGTGGCTCACGGCATGGACCTAGACGGTGCAAGTCTCCTGTGGGCCCACTAAATACCTGGCGAATGCCATGTGTCCCAGAATCAGCTGCTTAAAGAGCTCGGTGGGGGCCCCTTTGCCCCCTAACTTCCTCTCTTTGGAGGCAGGTAGGGCTCTGTTCCTCCTCCAGCTGCTTTGGGGAGCTTACTTTGGGCTCTGACCGACTCTTCTGGGCTGTGACGAGCGTGGGAGAAATCCAGACTTGGAGATTACCAGAACATTGTTTCTCAAAAGTAGCCAATTTAAGAAAAGGACAAAGCAGCCACCGGGGCAGTGCACCTGGGCCTGTTCCCGGAGCCAGACTTCTCAGATTGGGATCCCCAATACCCCTCAGTGCACTGAGTCCCTCAGATAATCAAGGAAGGGTTCCGTGCCGTCTACAGAAAGAAAGACAAAGCCAAGGATTTTGATAACAGCTGCAAGTGTGAGCCACTTGAGAGTGACTTGAAAGAATTATTTTTCTTTGTGTGAGGAAGTTGGCCAGTGATACAACACATCGGTTGATTTTTTAAATTGCTATTTTGAAAGTGAAAGAGGTTAATGACCACCTCATTTGTCACACACTTGGTAAAAAAATGGACCCAAGGTGCTAATTTGGGGCAATTTGTGATCGACTTCCTAGTCTTTTTGATACTAAAGGAAGACAAAGGTTGTCTTAAGGTAAAAGACATAGGGACTAATTGATTGCAGGCATCTAGTTAGAGAGTGTGTTATTATTTTAGTTATGCCAGCACTAAAGGGAGCGGTGTGTGTGTGTGTGTGTGTGTGTGTGTGTGTGTGTGTGTGTGTGTGATTACCACTCTGCCCTCCCCACGAGGGATAAGCCAAAAAGATCAGGCTGCCTAGGGCCACCTACCACTCGGGCGGTGGAAGTCTCCAGACCAACGCTGTCCAACTTGGTAGCCGCTAGTCACGTGTGGCTACTGAGCACCGACATGTGGCAAGCGCAGTGAGAGGCGCGATAAGTGTCTGCGTTGCATTTCAGGGCAGAATCAAAGAATCAATATCTCAATAGCTTCAAAATATTGATTACATGTTGAAATACTTGGGCTACGTTGCATTAGATTATGCAATTAGCATTGCTTGCCCCTGTTTCGCGTAGCCCTTGAATGCGGCTACTAGCACATTTCAAACTGCATCCTGCGTTTGGACAGCGCAGGCCTGGGGCGCAAGAGCAGCAGGGATGGTGGCAGCTCCGTGGGTCGAAAGCGCGGAAGCGAACGGCGCGGGTGGTGGGTGGCCGAGGGAGGTGGGGGTGGTGCCTGGGTTCCCCAAGTTGTTGCTTTGGACATGTCCCTTCCTCCCCCGCGCGGGCGTCTAATGTGTCGCCTGTCCCCGCAGCGCCCGCCGCCGCGCGCAGGTTCGGCGAGGACACCGCGCCGCCGCCGCCGCCGCCACCGAGCTTCC